CGCTGCCCGTAGTCAAACCTGGGGAGAGAGCAGAGCGAGGCTGAGGCAGGAGCCCGGGCACAGCCGCCCCCGCGTCCGCGTCCGGGAACAGAGCCCATGCCCTACCCCAACTGCTCGCCGGCCTCGATGAGCCGGGTGCTGAAGAAGGCGATCCTGGGGAACCGCAGGTCCTGGTGCGACATGAACACCCGCACGGGCACCAGGTTGGGCTCGCAATGGTGGTTGATGAAGCGGCTCACGTTCCCGTAGAAGCGTGCGTCGATGCAGTACAGCTCCCCGTCCTGCGGGCGAGAGCGGGCGTGGGCACCAGCCAGGTGGAGAGGCAGCCAGAGCAGAGGCAGCGAGGCCCAGGGCTGCTGGGACACCCCCATGCCGTCCGTGACCACCCCTGCCCCCCGCCTGGGACTGAGGAGCCCAGTGGGGCCGCACCATCTGGGCTCCATCGGGGGAGAGCACCCGCCACCCCGGACTCTCCCTCCAGCTCTGACTCTGTCAGCATGGGGGCTGGGGGGTCAGGCAGGCGGAGATCACGGGCCATGGCTTCTCACACTTGGTGACGCCAGGAGGGAGGGGCTGGAGACATGGAGCAGCTGGGCAGGTGGGATGGGGCAGAGGGGCAGAGGGAGGGAAGGTGCAGGCCGCAGTCATCAGAGCGTTGGTGACGACCGACCAAGAAGCAGGAATCCCATGGCCTCCGCTGCCCCACAGGACGGAGGTCCCCCCAATCCGCACACAAGAAGGGGCAGGAGCGGACGGTGAGGAAGGCAGGCGAGAGGGCCTGGCCTGACCACACAGCCCTGGGCCAGCACTTTCTCTGGGAAGATCCAGCGTATGGGAGCTGAGCCTGCACCCACCCCAAGGGCTGCCGGCAGGCTCCCCAGAGCGCGGCGTCACTGGGGCCGGAGCAGAGAGCCCACCACACGGAGGCACCCGGAGGGAGAAGCCTGGACAGCGGCGGCGTCCCTGCCCACCCAGTCAGCAGCCTGGTCTGCAACTCGCTTCCGGAAGAATCTTAGCCCCTGAGCCCAGAGCATGTGGACAGAGCCGGAGCGGGGACAGGCCGCGCTCCTGAGGCTCCTGCGTTGAAGGCAGAGCTGACCCCGAACCCGTGTCTGCCGTGGTCCGCCTGCTGACACTGGGAACCAGGACAGAAGCACAGACGGAGACGGTTCCGAAGAGAAACAGGGTCTGCAGACCGACCCCCTCCGGTTCCAAGATTCACCCAAATTGACGGCGGCCAGGAGAGAGGGGCACAGATGTGAGGCTCAGCAAACAGGCCAGACCCAGACCCACGAGAACCCCGAGGCACCTCCACCCCACAAGCCTGAGTCCGCTCGAGCCACGCGCCCACTGCCGGCACCTGGGGAAGGAGAGCGAGCCTCCCACAGCCCCGCAGCAGACAGAAGGGAGACAAGAAACCACTTTCTATTCTCGGCCGACAAGGAGGCCGAGGCTGGGCCGAGGCTGACACGTGTGACGCGCGCACGCAGGACCCGCAGACCACGCCGCCCAGCTCGAGGAGCGGAGGGAAGGGGCAGGAGGCCGGAGCCTGACAACAGCCTGCAAACGCAGCACCGGGTGCAGCCCGCCCAGGAGGCGCCTGAGAAAGGAGCTCTCACATCCACAGACGCGGTAGCAAGTCCGGTGGGAAGCGGGTGCACCGCGGTCCCTCATGGCCGTGGAGTGACCAAGCCTCACAGACAGCGGGGCGGCTCAGACGCCACCGAACTCCCGCGGGGAAAGCTCACCCGCCGGGCCGAGCAGCCCTGGCTGAGGGGCCGGAGGCAGGGATGTCCCACCACCTCGCTTGTGGCGGGGACAGACCGGCACGCGCATTTCTCAGAACTAAAACCAGTCACTTCAATGCCAAAACCTTATTCAATTAAAAACCCAGCCCAGCTGGTGTGCCCACTTGGATCGGCCGTGGTCGCCTGCACCAAAGGATGCTGGTTCGATTCCCGGGCAGGGCACAATGCCCAGGTTGTGGGCTCGATCCCTAGTAGGGGGTGTGCAGGAGCAGCCAATCGATGTTTCTCTCCCTCTCCCTTACTCTCTCTCTAAAAACAAAAGAACCCTGGCTGCTGTGGCTCAGTGGATGGAGTGTTGGCCTGTGGACTGAAGGGTCCTGGGTTCAGTTCCCCATCAGGGCATATTGGGTTGCAGGCTCGATCCCCAGTGGGGGGCGTGCAGGAGGCAGCCAGTCAATGATTCTCTCTCATCATTGACGTTTCTCTCTTTCCCCCTCCCTTCCTCTCTGAAATCAATAAAAATATATTTAAAAAGAAAAAGGAAAGAAACACAACAAAAGATATCCAAAACCACACCACAACCCTAGCCGGTGTGGCTCAGTGGATAGAGCGTCCGCCTGCGGACTGAAGGCTCCCAGGTTCGATTCCAGTCAAGGGCATGTACCTTGGTTGCGGGCACATCCCCAGTAGGAGGTGTGCAGGAGGCAGCTGATTGATGTTTCTAACTCTCTATCCCTCTCCCTTCCTCTCTGTAAAAAATCAATAAAATAAGAAAATAAAAATTAAAAAAACAAACAAAAAACAAAAAACCACACCACAGAAAACCCTAGAACAGCCTGGGGGTGAAGAAGACTGAGACAAGTTCAGGAAAGAGAAGAGGTGAGGTTGCCCCTGATGACCTCACCTGGTCTGTAGGGTCCACGCTGCCCCCCACCCCTACGGGAGGGTGAGACCCGGCAAGAGCCCAGGCGGGAGGGCGAGACCAGGATGCCGGGAGCTGGTGCACGGACACCGGACGCACGGACACACCACGGGGCCACGGGGAAGGGCAGCCTTCCCAGCCACTGGCACCGAGTCCAGAAGCCGTCACCTGGGGAGGAACCAGCGAACGGCCACCCGGCAGGTGCAGCGCGTGAGCGTGAGGTGAGGGCGCCTCTGGGCAGCACCTCACCCTGGGAGCAGGGGCGGGGGAGGCGACAGCAGGCGGCATGAGGACGCTGTGACGAGGAGGACCCTGCCCCTCAGAGGGAGGACCCTGCCCGCTGGAGGAGCGCCAGGGGGCGAGCAGGCCACTGAGGGAGGACAAGCACTGGTATCACCAAGTGTCTGGAAACGCAAGAACCGCTGAAGACCTGGCGCTGCCGCGGCAGCGGGACGAAGCAGGGAGCTCTCAGGAGAGACTGTCCGCGGCCAACACGCTCCCTAGGCCACACGGTCACCGCGCCTGGCGGGGCTGGGAGCCCGGAGCCCGTCTCGCTGGGGCGGCGCGTTCCCCAAGCACAGCCGGGAGGGTCGGGGGGCAGCTCCTGCAGCTGGGCCCTAATGGGCCCTGAGCAGAGGACCCCACTTCCCCAGCCCTGCCTGAGCGCTGCAGCCAACAGGCACCTTACGAAGGAGGGGCCACACGAGAACCAAGATGGAGGTGCAGGGGCCTCGGCAGCATCTGGGACCTGGCACCAGGCTGGACGCCAGGCAAGCCAACTCCTCTCCCCGGTCCCAGGAAGCAACGGGGACTCGCACCGTTCCCACGGCCCTCACCCCTCGCACGCGG